TATATATAATTTAGTAATTTATTGTGTGTGTACTCCTCAAGTCTCAAGTCTCCTCAAATAAATAAAAGTTCTTTGAAAATGAACTCTAAGCAAAAGATAGATGCCATATCATATCTATTTATTTCAATATGTAGAAATATTATGATGGAAAAAGACATACTTTCTCATCAATTTATATATATATTCCTTTTTTTGTGTAGACCTCAAGTCTAACAGGAAAGAAATATAATTTCTTCAAAAATTAACTCTTAAATATAGGTGAAGGCATGACTATAAAATCAGCAATGTGTTGAAGTACAATTTATATACTGTATAATACATCAGGAATTTGAACTACTGTTAGCCTATAGAAATCTGAAATATTACCATTCAGAAAATGTGAAGCTTCCTTCGGCAGTGCTGTATAAATGTTGAATGCCTCCTACCCCTCCAGAGAACTTCTATGTACATAAAACATTTAACCATACAGATTCCCTGCTATAATAACTTGATCTTATTAAATTTATCAACTGGATACCATCAACTGTTCCCAAATGTCTCATTCAGCTATTTAGCAGAGTCTTGTGATTGGAGGAAATAATATTCAGACAAAGTTAGGACTATTCAGCCATTTAGCACTGACACTCAATCCATTATTCCAAGTTAAGAAGTACAGCTCCTTTCAAGTGCAATCATTGTACTCTGAAACACTGTACAACAGATTGTTGCCTCTTGTTAGGGCTCTGTTTGCCTTACAGTCATTAAAATCACGTCTCTGTCTGGAGGTAATAGAATATAATGAGGGCATTTAAAATCCGGCTTCAGGCATTGTAATCTGTGACACATTTCTGCATCTGACTTTCTGAAAGAAACACTTAGAATAACTGTAATCTACAATAATACATTTTTGTAGCCACTTTACACCGTTCATCCTTTCTGAGTTCTGAGCGAACATGATTGCTAAATTAGATCAAGAGAGCATTAAACTGGGTTCACTGATAAGAGTGCTGGCAGATCCAAAGCAGAGAGTCATGGATATGTATGTAGGCACTTTACTTTTTTGTAACTTTTGCATGTAGGCAAGTTGCTGGACATGTGGATAAGTGTTATAAAAAACTGTAAAATAAATGTATATTTTATAGTAGAAAGGGTACTTGCACACAGGTAGGTAGTATCAAAGGAGCTGGGTGCAACTCCTGCAGTATGTAGATATGAATGTACACATACACACTCTATACTAGGTACCTCTATTAAAACCAGTTCTGTTTCAGGCATGCATACAGTGCAGAAAAATGTACATATACCCACATCATTTTACATAGATAAATATCTGTACATGTCTCTCCACTGTATCATGCAAACATCCAAAACTAAACCAATGTAAGATAAAGTATATTTATACTGCACACTAATTGCTCTCTACCTGTACAGTGACCATACCATGAGAGCATCTATAGCTGGTACTGTACTATAAGAGAGAACCCAGCACTGTACCATAAGAGTAGAGCTGACAATATACTAGCAGAGTTGAACTGGCACTGTACTATAAAAGAGGACCCAGCACTGTATTATAGAAGAGCTGACACATTACTATAGGAGAGGATCCAGGACTGTACTATAGGAAAAGAGCTGGCACTTTACTATAGGAGAGAACCCAGCACTGCACTATAAGAGAAGAGCTGGCAGTGGCACTGTACTATAGGAGAAGAACCAGTATTGTACTATAAGAGAAGAGTTGGCACTGTACTATAAGAGGACCCAGAATTGCATTATAAGAGAAGAGTTTGCACTGTACTATAGGAGAAGAGCTGACACTGTACAATAGGAGAGGATCCAGCACTGTACTATAAGAGTAGAGCTTGCACTGTACTATAGGAGAAGAGCTGGCACTGTTCTATAGGAGAGGACCCGACAATGTACTATAAGAGAGGACTCAGCATTGCACTGTAAGAGAAGAGCTGGCACTGTACTATAGGAGAAGACCCAGCACTGTACTATAAGAGAAGAGCTGGCACTGTACTATAGGAGAGGACCCAGTACTGTACTATAGGAGAGGACCCAGCACTGTACTATAAGAGAAAAGCAGGCACTGTACTATAGGAGAGGACCCAGTATTGTACTATAAGAGAAGAGCTGGCACTGTACTATAGGAGAGGACCCAGTATTGTACTATAAGAGAAGAGCTGGCACTGTACTATAGGAGAGGACCCAGTATTGTACTATAAGAGAAGAGCTGGCACTGTACTATAGGAGAGGACCCAGTATTGTACTATAAGAGAAGAGCTGGCACTGTACTATAGGAGAGGACCCAGCAGCGTACTATAAGAGAAGAGCTGGCAGTGGCACTGTACTATAGGAGAGGAACCAGTATTGTACTATAAGAGAAGAGCTGGCACTGTACTGTAGGAGAGGACCCAGCACTGTACTATAAGAGAAACGCTGGCACTGTACTATAGGAGAAGACCCAGCAATGTACTATAGGGTAAGAGCTGGCACTGTACTATAGGAGAGGATCCAGCACTGTGATATAAGATAAGAGCTGGCATTGTACTATAGGAGTAGAGCTGGCACTCCACTATAGGAGAGGATCCAGCACTCTACTATAAGAGAAGAGCTGGCACTGTACTATAGTAGAGGATCCCTGGACTCAAATCAAATCCAGAAAATGTACTCATTTATGTCAGAGCATCTTGTATTTCACTAACAGCAACCGGCTGCCTGGGATGTTCAGGCATAAAACAAGGTCATAGATAAAAATAAATAAAGTTGTACAGTTTCATGATCATAAAAGCTACTCCTGCAAATTCATGAGAATTTGTTTGTATATATAATTATCTAATATCTATTACAGATAGTCTGTTAAAACCAGTTATGTTAGAGGCATGCATAGAGTGCATGAAATTGTACTTATACTTTCAGCATTATTTTACATAGATAAATATCTGTACATGTTTCTGCACACAAAAACAACCAAGCCAAACTATTGTAACATTTAAAGCACATTTATGCTGCACACTGCTCTCTGCCTATTCAATAAGCTACTGTCATAGGCATGGATAGTACCTATAGCTGGAACTACACTATAGAGGCCAAGAAGAATTGAGGACCTAGCACTGGCACTATACTTTTAGAGAGGACCCAGCACTGTACTATAAGAGAAGAGCTGGCACTGTACTATAGGAGAGGACCCAGCACTGTACTATAAGAGAAGAGCTGGCACTGTACTATAGGAGAGGATCCAGCACTGTGATATAAGATAAGAGATGGCATTGTACTATAGGAGTAAAGCTGGCACTCTACTATAGGAGAGGATTTCAGAGCATCTTGTATTTCACTAACAGCAACCGGCTGCCTGGGATGTTCAGGCATAAAACAAGGTCATAGATAAAAATAAATGAAGTTGTAAAGTTTAATAATCATTTCCAGGGACATTTGGCTGCAAAGTCTGTATGTGTAATGTCACATTGCAGCGCCGTGGGCTACTGCATAAATCAGATGCTTTTCATAATTAGAACTTATAACCTCCATGTTAAATAATACTGAGGAATATTAATTAATATTAGGATAAGGAAAGAGTTGAAGCTACATAATGATATAAAACAAGGCAATATTAAAAACCAGCAAGCGGAATTTCCAAGGACAAGTGTTCAAAAACTGGAACCTGACAAGTGATAACATCTCCTTTCTGACAGGTCTGATATTGTAAACCAGGATCTAATTGCTTGCAGTCACAACCTGCACACTCCCTTTGGTCACCTGACTTGCACATCTAATATTCAGTGTATAGCAGGAGACCTTTTATTGCTACCTATGGGGGTTCTGGGTAATGTGTGTCAGTCTAAAGGCTACCATAGACAATAAAAGGTGGTTAGTGGTCCAGGAAAAATGTGTCTACCCTCAGGTTGTAAGCTATCATGTCCTAAACATCTATGGTCAAATCATGCAACCATTAATGTTTAGGCTATGGAGAGCGGTGGGGCGGAAGGCTGCAGAGAATTTTCACCAGCAGGGGGGGGGGAGGGATCTACATTGATTAACATTTACCATTTCTTGTGGTGGGCAGTTAAAAGCGCTTTCCAAACTGCTCAAAAACGCCTAGGTGTGAACCAGGGCTTAGTCTCCTCTCTCCCTGTAGTCAGATTGGAAATGTGTAACTTTGTAGCAGGTCACAAGAAGAGGGACTAATGTAAGTCAGATATTTGTGGTCCCAGCAATGAACCATACTGGCACCAGTATTTACATGATTGGATCATGTGACCCATCATCTCAGCCCAGGAAGTAGATACTGACCATGGATGATGCCTGAACCAAGATTTTGCCATCCTTTTCATCCAGTTTTGGAGACCTTACTTAGAAAACGATATCAATAAGACATAAGGAGTCCAGAGACGGGCAACAAACATATTCAAAGTTCTAAGGGATGAAATATATCAAGAGAGACTGCGGGAACCTCATATGTACAGTCTTAAGGAAAGAAAGGAAAATGAGACATGACTAAAGCAGAACTCCAGGCACTCATTTTATTAACCCTTGCAGTGGGGCCACCCCCACTCTGCAAGTGTTAAGTGCTTGTTTTTGCCTAGGTTACAAAAAAAAGTTATACTTATCTGATCCTCTGAGCCAGCCACCTCTTGGACCTCTCTCCCACTCCACAGCAGCAGTCTAAGGTCCCTAAGTCATCACATTCTATACATAGTGTATAGGACATGAGGACGCCGACAGACATTCCATCACTGCAGGAGAGGAGGAGACAGGCTGGAGGAAGTGCTGTGACAGCCAGCTGGCTCCAAGGTTTGGGTGTGTATAATTTTTTTTCTAAAGCTGGCCACACACCTTACAATTATCTGCAGATTTTCTGTGGTCAGATGGAAAAGGTGCAACAGATTCCTCCATCCACACTTAGCTGTGTGGATAGAGTAATCTCCACCTGGGCCAATCTGTTGCACTTTTTCCATCTGACCACAGAAAATCTGCAGAAAATTGTAAGGTGTGTGGGCACCTTTAACCAGTTGACATCCGCGGTGTTAAACCCCCTTCCCATCCAGGCCATTTTTCAGTATTCAGCGCTGCGGTACTTTGACTGACATTTATTCCGTCATGCAGCGCTGTACTGAAATGAATTTTATACCCTTTTTTGGGGACAGATAGAGCTTTCTTTTGGTGGTATTTATTCACCACTGGGGGTTTTATTTTTTTACTATATTAAGGAAAAATTACCGAAATTTTTTTAAAAAAACAGTTTCCCCTATATTAAATGATAAAACATTTATTATTACCCAATTTTTTGGTAAAATATAAAAGATGGGGTCACGTCGGGTAAAAAGACACTAAACATGTCAAGCCTTAAAATTGTGTGCGCGCGCGAAACCTCAAAAAACGATAATACCCAAAATTGGCCCTAGGCGACGCTTTAAAAGCTGTTACCGCTCATCAGTTTAGTGTTATCAGTGATTGATGGCCCTAAAATGATTTTTTTGCGGGCTATGGACCCGCCGATCGCCTATATGTGAAACACCCGGTAACGGGTGTGTGCATTTAGCGGGTCTTTTCTGCCCGTGCGTGCCCGCTAGGGGGCGCGCGCGAGCAGAAAAAAATTGCCGTCTGGAGACGGCAACCCGCAGATGCTGCAGTGCCGTCCGTCCGTTTTTTTACTACGGGCGGACGGCAAGAGGTTAAACTAGACAAAAACGAGCAGT